GTATCTACAACGAACTAGAACTTTCAAATCACTATATGCAAGTGCTGATGAAGCCTTTGAAGCCAGGGCAGGCCCCACGAACCAAATTCCTCGTCAAGGAATTACTCTATGTGCCTCGGACTGTCTATCGAATTCTGACGAAGACAATGAGTCCCATAAAAGGCCACGACTCAAATGATGAAGAAGTCGTTGGCATCATGAAGAATATGCTTTTCAACATCATTCATGGCGTTCCCGTCAACTTCCATGATTTCTTCATGAGGACTCTAGCCAATATTGCTATGTCACCATTCGAGCTGAAGCCCTATGCTCCTTGGATTATGAGATTCATCAGGGCAAGATCTTCACTGAATTACAAAGCTGACACTCTGAACCACGGTAGCTACTTGCCTCCCATTGAAGTCCTCAAACAGACGGTTTCATCAGCTATTGATAAAGGCAAGGCCGCTGCTGTGATCGATGAAGGCATTCGTCCATTGGATGGTCAATTTCGCAAGGCTACATCTTACTCTACCAATGACGATTCTGCCACACATGACTCTGCCGCAAATACCTCAGCCAAGCAAAATCCTCAAGCCACAGCACCCAAGGTGATGACTGACCGTGAGTTACTCCTCAGTCTTCATCAGAAGGTTGATCGCAATCACAAATGGGTAAAGCGTCAGTTTGGTGCACTTCTTCACAATATGACCTCAACACACAATGCAGTGAAGAAGAACCAATACTACCTTCATGAAACCTTCAACCGCACCTGGGCTATCCTCACTCATGTCTATAGCGCTGAAGAACTGAAGACTATGGGTCTCAAGGAAGAATTTGACTGGTCTGCACCTCCTCCGAAGAAATTCAAGAAGGTCAAAATTCCTCCACTGGTGGCCAGCTCTTATTCTTCATCGCGTGACACTGATGAGTATGAAGATTTGGACGACACTGCGGTAGGCCCTGCTACAACAAACAACCCCGACAACGCTGGCGCTCCTCCATCGACTTGAAATTCTTCAGGGGCGTTAGTCCTCAGTTTCAATCCTTTTGGTCATTTGATGACAAAGGGGGAGAAATCTGAGTTAGTCTTCAAGCGGGTATATATTAAGGGCATTTTTTAAGTTACAACTCTCGTTCTTCTGAAACTTTTATTTGGATCGAGTTTTAATCTTAAACCCGATGGTGCGCTGATACTTTTGTTGCATTATGATTTGCATGCTTATTCCTCGTTAATGACATTGCACGCATGCTGAATCTCATCAGGCACCATATTTCATCATGCATTTCAAATTCTTCATATTATATATCAAATGCGTGTATGAATTACAAGATATAGGGGGAGATCTCCATGATTCAACTCTTCAAATGTGCATTGCCTCAAAAGCAAATTCCTCACTATGCACATCTTCAGGGGGAGTTCTACTATATCTTGTAATCAAATTCCTCAATGTCAGTGTATACACTTCATATGTTTATCCCCGTTGAAAACTTAACCTATGTTGTCATCAATCACCAAAAAGGGGGAGATTGTAAGTGCATCTAGTGCCCCTTAGTGATTTTGGTGTATTGAAGACTTATAGGTTAAGGGACTAATGCGTTTGTGAGTATACACAGGTCTATAAGTCTATGAGGAGTTTGATATTTACAGAGAAAGTCGACCCCTAAAAATGAAGTTCTTCAACTGAAGACTTTGATATTCTGAAGACTTTCTGAAGACTTTGAAAGTGAAGAAATTGGTGTGACCTTGAAGACTTGGTATTCATTTGTGGAACATGAAGCGTGAAGACTTTTGTTTTCGTAGTTTCATTTTCTCTTTCTTGAGTCATAGGAAACACCGTACTGTTAAAGGGGGTCGAGGAAATACTAAGGAAAAATTTCCATGTGATGCTCAACTCAAAATCCTACACCTACCAATCCCTTCGAGTGAAGCCTTTGGAAATCTCATACAGTTCAGTCACTTTCTTCAGTGACAGAGACGAAGTTCTTCTGGTCGCTGATGAATTTGTTCTGACTGAGGAGTTAGGAATTCGTCAGTGCGAATTACCTACACAGTGAGGAACATGATAGCCCTGAGGAATTTGAGAGTCAAATTTCCAACCGTTGCTGTGCTGTGCGCCAGCTGTCCCAAAATATCTTATCCACCTAACGGTCATATCATTGAGGGGCATTTGTCTTATCATGTCGGGCTGCTCCCTAGGCTATAAATAGCCGCCCCCTACAATCACTAGCTGGTTCGCTGCTCCGAGAGAACTTGACACTTGTCATCTGAGAGCAACCCATCCTCCGAGGACTTTGAGCGAAAATCATCAAGTGAGGAAAACCCAAAACCAAACCCCTACAAACCCAAAGTGATTGAGCATCACTGAAGAAATTGATCCTGCGTGGATCCGACGCTTGTTACCTTTGAAGACTGTGCTTCTTCCAGACGGTTAGGCGTCAAGGTCTAGAGCATCCAAGAGGAATTGTGGATCGCCGAGTGACCAAGTCTGTGAAGGTTTGGAAGTCGTCTGAAGACTTACCACGAGTGATTGGACGAGGTCTGTGTGACCTTAGTTCGAGGAGAATACGGTGAGGACTGGGTGTCCTGAGCTGCGTGCTCAGCGACTGGGTGTCCGGGACTGTGTGTCCTCGAGTTTAAATACTCAGCCGCTCCAACCAGACGTACAACTGAGATAGCAGTTGGAACTGGTCTACCAAATCATTGTCTTCACCAACCTAACTGGTTCTATTTCCTCAACCCTTCCATTTCCTTATTACTGTGTTGAGTGTTTGTTCATATCTGTGTTTGAAGACTTTGACTGAAGACTTTCTCAATTTCCTCAGTTCAATTTCTTCAGTCTGTTTGTCTTCATCTTGTGTTATCCTGTGATTACGCTTTCTGTACTCTGTGCTAGTCTTCATTTCATCATGATGACCATGCTTGTATTCTGTTATGCTTACTTCTGAGTACTTATTCCACTGCTAATAGTTCTTCGCTAAGAAATTTCCTCACCGGCAAATTCCTCAGTGAAGAATTCATAAAAATCGCCTATTCAACCCCCCCCCTCTAGTCGACATAACGCAGTTTCAAAAACTCCAAAGCGATCTGATCCTGGATCAACAAACTATAACAATGACCATATCTGCACCGACCATCTCATGACACCACTCGGACGACGAGGTTCTTCAACAGCAATGCCTTTAGGAAAGGAGCGGCACTCAAGTGCCACCGTCACCGAATCCAGCCACCTAAGGCTACAATCTAGGTTTTCACCCTGAAGAATTAGTCCGAACATTCCGAACAATGCCTTCAACAAGGTAACAATGTAAAAGCATCGCCATTGCCAGGTAGACGCAAGTCGGGTCAAACCTAGGCTTTCACCCCGGAGCTCAAGACCGGATGCTCAAGTAACACCACCATCGAAGTCATTCATGTGTTGTCGTCACCACATTTCCACAATCCCAGCAGCTACATGCGATGTGACCACCGCCGCCGCACAACCATCCCTCTGCATCAAGACTTCATCCATAGTTTGTATCTCACTGCCGAAGTCAACCACCAGATCTACGGAGATGAAACTCTCAAAAATCTTTTGATGGTGACTATAATCCGCAGCTAGGCCGCCGCCATATCCAATTCCCGTGAAGTAATCAAAGCAGATCTGCCACACTACGACCATTAGCCGCCAAACTCCGGTGCACTCAGCCACGAACTCCGCCTAGCCGTGAAGACCCGGCCATGCCACTGCGGAGGAAGACTCCAAGCAGCCATGACCATGTGTTGCAGCTAGGCGGCAGCCTAGACGGCCGCCGAGCATCTGCCCGCACATGCACATCTCAAGCAGCCGTGTGGATGCGTCCAGGCACCAGCCTCGTACTCCAGGCCATGAACTTCATTTCGATCAGAAGGCCAGAATCAAAAGGTAGGTGCCCGATCGGGAGGCAAGCAATGGACAGATCGGAAAGCTAGTGGCCAGATCTGAAGTTGACCGCCAAGGGAAATAATAGGAGAAAAAAAAGAGACCGAAGATGCCCCGCCGCCGCCGTCCGCCGGGCGGCCGGCCTCCTCCGGTGGCGGCGTGGTGAACGACGCTACGTGGGAGGGCCTCTGAGGTGACCGCGACGACGCCTCCGGAGTCGCGTGAAGCGACCCGGGAGGCTCTACCCAATATCAGCTACAACATCGACACAACCATCTCTAGTGCACCGAAGGAGAGCAAGCCCGTTTACATCAGCATCAACTAGAACCTCTCATTGGGCCCGCATCCTAACTTTAGCCGCCATCCTGTCCTTTTTCTTCACTCCCCAAGGTAAGTTGGCATGCTCCCTGTCTGCGCATAAGGATGAGGATATGGCTATGGATTTGGTATTAATGATGTTGATGAGCTGTTCATTTGTGAGACTGACAAACCAGATGGAAGAGAAATGAATTCATTTGTCAGACTATTCATTTACCAGTCTTGTCATTCTTTGTGTTGCCAGTCTACTGATGCTTGATTTGTATTAGTATACAATAGGACTTGTTTGTTGGTCACTTTTGCAGCAACATGTTATGATCACTTTCTATGACCTGTTTTCAGATCTATCATATATGGCTCTAATGTGTGATGACTCTTTAGGTTCACCGGAAATATTACAGTGAGGAATTTCTTGCACGGCAAGATGCTTCAGCTGAATAACAATGCCTGCTCAGCTTCATTTTGCACAACATACTACTCTCTCCGTCCAGAAATACTTGTCATCAAAATGAACAATTTCCGGACGGAGGGAGTACAATCAAAACCCCCGAAATAGAAAAAGATTGGTCGCAGACGCTGGGCCGAACGGGCTTTGCTGTGAGTGGGCTTCGAATTCATTTTGCTAGGATCCGCCACGCTCCCACCGTCCCCCACGCCTTTCCCCCAAAACCGCCGCCGCCCACCTCTCTGCTCCTGTCGGCTCCGGCGACGGTGGCCTAGCGCTGGCCGTCGACGCCTGGCTCCCTCCTTCCACAAGTCCTCCTCGCTTGCTCTTCCATCCCCGCCGCAAAACCGCCAGCCATGGGGATGGAGGCAGGCGCTCCTGGTCCTAGCTCGAGGAAGAGGAAAGCATCGGCACACGAGGCGCCCGCCCCGGCGCCGACGGCTGTGGAAGCGCCCGGTGCGGAACCTACAGCGGAGGACCGGGAACCGCCTCTTTCCGGAGCGGATGGGGACGGAGGAGGCGCCGGCGGCGACCGCATCAGCGACCTCCCCGACGCCGTCCTCGGGGACATCGTCTCGCTCCTCCCCACCAAGGAAGGCGCCCGCACCCAGGTCCTCGCCTCCCGGTGGCGCCATCTCTGGCGCTCCGCCCCGCTCAGCCTCGACCACCGTTACTTCTTATTCGACGAGGAGGGCCTCGATGTTGCCATATCGCGCGTCCTCGCCGCCCACCTGGGCCCCGGCCGCCGCTTCTGCGCGCCGGTCTACCACCTCCCTGGCGACCGAGCGGATGCCTGGCTCCGGTCACCCGCCCTCGACAACCTCCAAGAGCTCGAGCTGTGCAGCTTCAGTTATATGTTGCCGTATCCACCACCAACGAAGCAGCTGCCGCCCTCAGCTGCCTTCCGCTTCTCCGACACCCTCTTGGTTTTCACCATTGGAGATTGCCACCTTACCGACGACATCACTCAAGTGCTTCACTTCCCTAAGCTTCAGAAGCTCGCGCTGAAGCGCGTCCTCATATCTGAATCCTCGCTGCACATCATGATTGCTGCTTGTCCTGCTCTCGAGTGCTTGCTTATAAGGAAGAGTTCTGGCTTTCGTTGTGTCAGAATCAACTCCATTAGCCTGAGAAGTATTGGTGTGAGCGGTTATAGCCCGAGAGGGCTCAACTTTGAGGAACTCATTATCGAGAATGCCCCTTGTCTCGAAAGCTTGCTCATACTTGGTTCATGTGAGTGCGGTCTTATATCGGTAATCTCCGCGCCTAAACTGGAGGCCTTAGGCTATCTTTCTTCTCATTATGGTACCAGAATCTCGTTTGACTCGACAGTTATTGAGGTAGCTGTGGCCTTCCTACTTGCTTTCAATGTGCCGCTGAATTACATGTTATTTGCACTTATAGATAGTCTAATGTCATCTTCCATGCTTCATGAAGCGATTGAGTGTTGATCGCCTGACGACAGCGGTGTGCACTGTCAAGATTTTAGCTGTTGATATGCATGCTCTTAGTCTGGATACTGTTCTTGACTTGATGGGATGCTTTCCGTGCTTGGAAAAGCTGTACATTCAGGTGATAATTCTTTTGTGATTATGGTTCAAAGTATTGACTGCTCCTTTGATGCATTTACTGTTCTGAAATGATTGGTTTTATTTCTTTTTTTTGTATGTTCATTTTTAGTCAACTGGACCAGGGAATACCAACTTCTGGCGTCGTAAACACCGGACTCTTATAAGATCACTTGACATCCGTCTAAAGACAATTGTTTGGCGATGTTATCGGGGAATTAAGTCACATGCTGACTTTGCCACATTTTTTGTACTAAATGCTGGCGTGCTAGAATTAATGACTTTTGAGGTTGATGTGGAAGATTTCAACGAGGAGTTTTGTGCACAACATCGTAAGATGCTTCAGGTGGATAGTAGGGCCTCAAGAGGTGCTCGGATTCGTTTTACTTCGGATTGGTCTTACAAGTATCATATGGATTTTAGTATCCATGATTTGGGTCCAGCTGATCCCTTTGAAAGGACATACCCTTTGAAAGGAGATATCACTTTTGTGCTTTGCTAACTGTTATTTTGTTTAAGTTTGTATGATCTTAGAATCTTATGACAGTTAAACATGCTATTCATGATGTTAGTTCCGTTGAAACCAACTTGTATTTAGCTTGTTAGTTTGTATTATCTTGGAACCTTATCGCAGTTAAGCATGCTAAGTGATGTTGGTCCTGTTGAAACCAACTTGTGCTAATGTCCACTTATTTGATGAGAAAGTACAGTATTTACATTGTTTTGTGGCCTTTAAATGTCAAGTGTGATGTTATCCATTAAATCATTTTTATCGGTTATGAAGCCACACAAATTGATATATATGGTTCTGAGTGTCAGTATCACTTCATCTGGTGTATCAAACACCTTCTCAGACCAAGGTATAATAACTGTGGTCTGCCTCCAGTTTGCATGAACTATTTGCAGTTCAGCCTGGACTTTATCTTGGAGGCAAGAAATGCTTTTTTGTTTGTTTCCTGAAGGTGAACTGCTTTGATAAAGCCCGGCCCAGCGCTGGCTGCCGCTTCTTTCCTTGTGCAGGTTTCTTGCCCTCTTTCGTTTTTGTTTACCCTCACAATTCAGAATTCCTCGACTGCATAATTTGTTTGTCGATCAAGCCCCAACCTTGGCTGCTGCTCCTTTCTCTGTGCAGGTTTTTCTTGCTGTCGGAATCGCTGGACTGCAGTACAATTTTGTTCGTCGATTTTGTTGCGTGCCGACGTAAATGCCGAAGATGGGGCATTTTAAACCTGCTGCTGAATCAATTATCCCGGCAGTTGCACGTGTACTGCGCTTGTTAGCGTATGAGAGCACAGTAGATGGTTTGTAGAACCGATCAAGAGGTTTGTTGATTCAGTACTGGAAACTGATGGAGCTACCCAAAGCATGCAACCAGCGCCTAATTGCGTGGATGGAGATAATAAAGTACTCCCTCCGTTTGGAATTACTTGTCTCGGAAATGGATGTATCTAGAACTAAAATATGTCTATATACATCCATTTCTGCGACAAGTAATTTTGAACGGAGGGAGTAGCACATGTGTATGTTAGCTACGGTGCACAAATGGAACTGGGCGCCATCTTAGTTTGGCCAGTGATCCATTGAAATATGATGTGTTATTATGTGCTAAAAAATTTGGTACAGTGCGTATCTACTGTATCAGCGAGCTAGACTAGCATTCCCATAAAAAAAGAACTAGCTGGGCAAGCAGACGTTCAAGGCCAATGCGTGACGCTGTTTTCTTTCTCAAGATTGTACGCAACACTAATTCCAAACGAACCTGTTCTCTCTACCACCAGGCAAGCAAGCAAGCAGCATGGAGTGCTTTTTTCTTGACAGTCGTACCTCCTGGTATCATTTTCCCCATAGTTTATCATTTTTCATTTTGTGATTTGGTTTTGCAACTACTAACAAGGTGGCCTCCTAACTCATTTTTGTTGCGAGGTTATGGTGTCATGTGCAGAAAATTCCCAATGTAATAGCTTCACACCTGAATATCCCGGAGTAACTGGCAGCACTACTTGAGGGGCAATCGTCGTTACGTAAGTACTACCTATTTCCTAAATGTAAGATGTTTTTGCAAATATTTAGAAAAAACTGCACTCGGTGGCTGCATCAACTTCAAAGACAGGATTGGATTTGTTTAGTCACACTCCAGACATTTTGCAAAGAAGCGACGGGAATGTACTTTCGGCTTCGGGTGCGAGCACAAAGTGAAACATTAAGCTAGGCCTGAGTCATTCCAAAAAGTCACTTTGGAGGACGAGTGCATTGGAGCCCTATACTTTGAATTGTGCCAAAATGTTATTTTAAAGTTTTCATACAAACCTGTTGGATAAACAGCAACTAGTATTTCCTGAGGGCCAAAGGCCATTACATATACATGTGTGTCAAAGTGCAGAAAACCCCTTATACAACAGGGATATACCGAAAAGGGACACATCTAACACCCCCCTCAAACTCATGGTGAATCAACAACACTGAGTTTGGAGAGGAAAAAGCCATGCTGTGCTCGAGTTTGTGACTTCGTGAAGAAGTCCGCCAACTGTAACTCAGAGGGCACATAGTGAAGAGCGAGAGTCTGATCCTGCACAGCAGCACGCACAAAGTGGGCATCCACACCGATGTGCTTGGTGAGCTCATGCTTCACCGGGTCACGCGCAATACTGATAGCGCCAGTACTATCTGACAGTAAGGGAGTCGAGGTAGTAGCAGACACACCAAAATCCTCAAGTAACCACCGTAACCAGATCACCTCAGCCGTCAACATAGTCATGGCTCGCAACTCAGCCTCTGTACTCGAGCGGGAAACTGCAGTCTGTTTCTTTGTGTTCCAGGCAATAAGAGAGCCACCAAGAAAGACACAAAAAACAGACAGCGAGCGTCGATCAGAGGGATCACTAGCCCAGGTAACATCAGAGTAGGCCTAGAGCTCAAGAGAGCTGGAGCGGGGAAAGAAAAGGCGTTGAGAGATCGTACAATGAAGATATCGTAGAACACGGAGGAGATGGCTATAGTGGACAGAGGTGGGGGCTGAAACAAACTGACTCAGGATGTGGACATGATAGGAGATGTCAGGACGCGTAACAGCAAGATAGACAAGACTGCCAACAAGATGACGATAGCGAGTGGGATTAGGAAGAAGATCACCATCGGAGGCACGAAGCTGAACGTTGAGCTCCATAGGAGTCACAACTGTGCACTCATCACCGAGAGCAGCGCGAGCAAGAAGATCCTGAATATTTTTCTTGGGAGATGTAGAAGCCATCAGAGGTTGAGGAGATCTCAATCCCAAGAAAGTAGCGAAGTGGACCAAGTTCAGTCATGAGGAACTGATCGCGAAGGCGAGCCTTAACAAAGGCAATATAGTCAAGATCGTCATCAGTGATGATCATGTCATCAACATAGAGGAGGAGAAGAGTCCGACCACGAGGAGACGTGTGAACAAACAACGCGGGATCATGATCACTGGGCAAGAAACCAACGGTAGTCACCACGGAGGCGAAGCGCTCAAACCAGGCGCGAGGGGCCTGTTTAAGACCATAGAAGGAGCGGCGAAGTCGACAGACCATACCATCAGGAGCGTAGTACCCCGGTGGTGGCTGCATATAAACCTCCTCACGCAACTCGCCATTGAGAAAGGCGTTATGAACATCAAGTTGAGAGATAGACCAATGACGAACAGAAGCCACAGCAAGAAGGGTGCGAACAGTGGTCATGTGGGCCACAGGAGCGAATGTCTCATCATAATTGCGCCCCTGCTCCTGCTGAAAATCACAGGCCACAAGACGCGCTTTGTAGCGCTCAAGAGAACCATCAGAGCGAGTCTTAATCTTGTAGACCCACTTGCAAGTGATGGAACGAACACCGGAAGGGAGGGAAACCAGATCCCATGTGCCAGAGCGCTCGAGGGCAGCAAGCTCTTCGGCCATCGCAAGCTGCCATTCAGGCTGAGTCATGGCAGTCCGATAGGAAGTGGGCTAAGCAATAGCAGAGAGACCGTACCGAGCAGGAGAGTAGCGATCAGGCGGGGGGCGAGGCCGAGCACGGAGGTTATGAACCGGGGAGGCGTGAAGGGAGGTGCACCAGAGGTGGAAGGCGCATCAGGAGAAGCATCCTCGGAATGAGGGTGATGAGTATAGTGGAGAGGAAACGGTGAGAGGGGGCGACGGACTGGAGATGATGGTGGAGAGGTGAAGGGGGAGGATGGGGAAGATGGTGTCGGTGGTGAAGGAGAGGGAATGAGAGGTGCCGGAGAAGGAGATGAAACAGAAGGCACATAGCAGGGTGTATCGGGGAGAAGAAGGAAAGAAATATCGTCCACAGAGAAGCTCGAGGAAGAAGGACGGGGGTAGTAAGAGCGAGACTCATCAAAGGTCACATCACGCGAGATGCGCAAACGACGACCAATAGGATCCCAATAGCGATAGCCCTTGTGCTCATCGCTGTAGCCAAGGAAGACACACTCAACCGACTGAGCAATCAGTTTGGTGCATTCTCGTGGGGCAAGAAGGACATAGCACACACATCCAAACATACGAAGAGCTGAGTAGTCAGGAGAACGACCAGTCAGACACTCCATAGGGATACCACCCTGCAAAGCAGTCGATGGCTGAATATTGATGAGATAGGTGGATGCAGAAACAGCCTCAGCCCAAAAGTGAGGTGGAAGGGAAGCAGCAATCATCAGCGCACGAGCCGTCTCAAGTAGGTGACGATGCTTACGTTCGGCAATGCCATTCTGAGCATGAGCAATAGGACATGAGCAAGAGTACCCTGTTCCGCAAGAAAACCACACAACAGCTGAGAGATAAACTCACCAGCGGAGTCAGCACGAAAAGTACGAATGGGCGTGAAAAACTGGGTGTGAACCATGGCCGCAAAACGTTTGTATATAGAGAGAACCTCGCTACGAGATTTCATGAAGTAGAGGCAAGTGTAGCGAGAGAAATCATCAATAAACAAGATATAGTAGCGATGACCACCTTTCGAATCAAAGGGAGCAGGACCCCAGACATCAGAATGAACTAAGTCAAAAGGACGCTGAGAGACCGACTCACTGGTAGGATAAGGCAACTGGGTTTGTTTGCCAAGTCTGCAACCATTACAATGTAAAGAAACATCTCCAGATAAAGACCCTAAGAGGCCCTGACGGTGTGGGTAGGAGCAGTGGAGCGGTGGGCCGAGCAGACGACACGGGAGTCCGAGCAGTCAACACAGACGGAACCACTAGCAACCCAGCAGAGCGAAGGCGGGTCTCCTCAGCACGAAGCTCGGCAAGCACCTCAGAGATAGGAATACGACTAAGAGCAAGCAAGTGAGCACGTCGGGGCTCAAACTCAGACCGGAGATGAGATAAGAACTCATGGACCCGCTGAAACTCCAGATCAGACCGAGTAGTCTGACAGCAATGACATGTTCCACAAACAACTGTCCGAAGAGAGTCAAGCTGGCGCCAGATGGCGGAGCACTGTGAATAGAACTCGTCAACATTAGAATCACCTTGCTGGAGTGCGTGCTCCT